ACAGCAGTACATGTATATTTCATTAGGTGACAAACATTAGTTATAATAATAAACTTTGAAATTAGTACATGATGACAGCTAATACAATGGCAATAAAACACACTGGACTAGCTATGATAAAGAACCATGTCCAATTGGAACATCCCTTTTTTCTTCTTTCCCTTTCATGTTCTACTAAAGTCAATAATTAATCATCATTCAATATTTATTATAATCTCACTCGTATGAGTAGCAACTGATGTCTCTTCTACTTTACCAGCAGTTGCAATAGCTACATCTAGTTTGTTCCAAGTTGCTTCAACATCATTTTTAAGCCATAATGCTAAACATTCTCTGAGACATCGCTCAGCATCTCGTGGATAGTTAGTCTCAATTGTCTTTAAATCATTGTAACTCAGACCCAAGGAGAGACCAAGATCAAACCATTCGATAGTTTGAAATTGACGGTCTTTTAACAATTGTTTTACCTCTACCAGATTCTCAATAGTCAATATAACTATAAATAAATAAATAAATAAATAAATATTGTAAAACTAGTGACAGTGAGTGGTTATACCTTTTTGTTGATCATCATTGTACTCACTGATCTGTGTGGGTGAGTAATTAGTAGCTGGTTTGTCATTTTGAATTGCTGTCTCTATATAAAAGTATAAATATGATACAAAAATTATTAAACCATAGTCACAATAATGTATATACTATACACTACCATTACTTGACAATTATAATACACTCTCTTAGTCTTACCAAGCAGTTTATCAGTGAGTGTTTCTTGTACTTCATCATTAATCTTAAGTACATCAATATCTATACATTATATTAAATACCAATAATACTTGATACATACTCATAATGTTTGTATAGTTCAATGTACAATAATTATAATAATGTTTGTTAATGGATGATGTGTACATATCTTACCAGACTGTCCTTTCTCTATTGAAGTACTTCCATGTTCCTGAGATTCATTCAAAGTGTTAGTTGTTGTTCCTTTATCTTCATTATTATTACACTTTACTCCTTCATCTCCCTACACACACAATATAGTAAAATAAAGTTGATGAGGAGTGTTTCTAATAACTGTTACCTTAATATCAAGATCAGACTCACTGATCTGTGTGGATGAGTTGACTTTTTGACTTGTTGACTCTATACATGTACATATAGTATAATGTATGGAAAACAGTCAATCACTATTATAAAGTACATTCTCCCTACTCCACAATTGTGATACTGTACTGTACATTTACCTGGAGTCAATGATGATATCAATTCTTCAGTTATGTCAATCAATTCCTATACAATAATATAATAACTGATATTTGTCACTGTGCTTGTTTATCAAGGTGATATACATCAGTAGTGTATTGCTGAAAGGTGAGTTTAACAGATGTACAAGTATATATTATTAGTAGTAAAAGCCACACAATGACAACCCACAATTATGACAAAGACTGAGTAATTGATAAGAAATAAAAATTACTTTTAGGATATGACCTTTTGATTATTAGTGCTTGTATTAATGTATCAAACAGTTTGTGTGTGTTAATTCTTACCTTAATATCACGTCCTCCTAACAGTGACAGGTTACTAATATCTGATAATAATTCACCAGGTAGGATCTCCTTCAATTCTTTATGTCCTTTATCACTCACAAGAAATGGTCTTCCTTCCTTAATTGCTGATAGTAAATCACAAACATCATACATTGTCCTTTCTCTTGGTGTATTCACAGGATAGGCTAGTTCTTTAGGATCAATAACTAACTCTTTTACCTCTAGACTGGGACAGGATTCTTTATAAACACTCATTACCTCTCCTATCACATCTCTTTTTAGAGACACCATATTGTCACTGTAACCTTTCTCACAGGACATCATTACTAGTACACACTGGCTCTCATCCACAATCTCTATCAGTGATCCTACACCATGACCATTAAACCAATAAAGTCCGTTCTTCCAAAATTTGCATTTACGATTCAGTTTTTCAGCTAATTCTTTGTTCCCTTTTGATAAAGAAAACTTAAAAGCAAGATGTAATGAGAGGACATGGAAGTATCGAGGAGGAAAGAAATCATGTTCTCTAGTACACCGTAGACACCAACCAAACTGGTACACTTCACTAGTCATCTTCTTAGGTCTATCAGTAGACAAAAGACATGGAAAGAGCAATAACCTTTCTCCTCTTCTTTGAGTTTTTGAGGCACTGTCTCCTGTCTCCTCTCTGTCTCCTGCTATTAAGTTTGTGATTCTTAGGAAAGATGGACTCAATTCTTGACAGAGTTCCATGTTCTTCAGAAAACAGATCAACATGTCAGGATCATATTTAGAGAAGAGTCCAGTCAGACCAGACACACTAACAATACCAGTATTGCTAGCAATGTCAACGTGTTCTTTGAATGCTTTTGGAGCAAAGAGAATCCCATCCACCTCAGTTAGTAGTATACCCTTATTCACAACAACCCATACCTTGTCTTTACTTTTAAGAACACTGATCAAACCAATTGACTGCAATGAATGAAGAGCATCCAAGATGTCTTCTTTCTTACCTGGTATAACATAGTCATTACTACACCTACCAGCAGACATTACATCAGGGAGGGTCAGTATATTCTCTTTCCTTTCCACTAGTAGTCGGTACATTTCATGATCATAAAGACTGGATTTATTTCTTCTTGTGCTACGAATGGACTCACAGGAACTAGACAACTTTTTAAAGAAGGAATCCACACCACTCCCACCAAGCTTACGACAATCTAAGAAGACACCATCACACCTTTCCCTTACAATAATCTCCTGTATTTCTTCCTTTCTCTTCCTTTCAACAGGATTACTTATCTCATCCACATGACTGACTATTACAATAACATGGCATTCATTAAGAGCTTTCTGTGCTTCATTTATCACAACTGTTAGCCACTGATGAAGCTGTTTGACTGCTTCCTTCTCCAATATATTGACTACTATCAGGAACACACCACCAGAACCTTGTAACAGATTCTCAATGACAGCACTGTGACTGGAGTAGTATTCTGAATGACCAGCAAAATCATGAAGAATGATGTTACCCAGTTCCACATGTTGTAGTTTATAAGGAATGATACCAGCAGTACAGGGCACTACCCCTCCAACATTTCTAAAGGAACCAAGAACAAAAGAACCAGTAGCTGTGTCATCGATAACATGACTAAGAGTACTTTTACCAGCTCCAGGATTACCCACAAGGAGAACGTTAACATAAGAATCAATTGGATGAGATATTTTAATGTTACCAAACTTCTTAAAGATATCAATGACAGTATCACTATCATACTCTCTCTCTTTAGCTAGTTGTAATGGTGTCCTCCCCTCATTGTTTTTAGCCAAAGGATCACAATTACCAGTTGATAGAAAGTATACAATAACTTCAGGTGTACCCCACCCTGCAGCAAAATGAAGAGGTGTCTGTTTTAAATTATCAGTGACCATTATATCACAGTTACACTCATTAATGAGGTACTTTACAACATCTATGTGTTTAACAGCACGATGAAGAACAGTTTCTCCTCTATTGTTAGTAGTCATTGGATTATAGTGATGAGTATTGATGAGGAGGTACTTCATGACATCAAGTGATCCTTCACTAGCCGCAACATGTAGAATAGTATTTTCATCTTTATC